CCCCCCCCCATCCACACCCCTCGCTGTGTGCGTCTGCGTGCGACCGCACGCGCGAGAGCACACGCTCGCCCTTATTCACATTGAAAAAATAAGTGGCGCTAAGCCTTAACACAAATTGAGAAAGCCAAGAAAAATGGAATGCACTCTCTATATCGTCCCCAGATAAGGGAGCACGAAGCGAGGGAGGACGGAGGGCCGAGGAAGGTAACACCACCGGAGGGAGGAAGGAGAAGGCGAGGGAGGAAATAAGGAGAAAGGGAGGAAGGAGGGAGGGCGGATGGGGCAGGGGTGAGGGAGGGAGGAGCGAGGGTCGAGGCAGGAATGGAGGACAGGCCGAGGGAGGAGGGATGGTGATGGTGCCTCTGGTGCCTCTCTCTCTCTCTCTCTCTCTCTCTCTCTCTCTCTCTCTCTCTCTCTCTCTCCCCCCCCCTTTGTGGAGGGAGGAGAGAGGACGGGCCGAGAGAGAGAGAGAGAGAGCACGGATCCACGCTGAGCACCGAGCACGAAAAGCACGTATCCACGATGAGCACAAAACGCACGGAGCACCGAGCACCAAAGAAAAGCACAAATCCCCAATGAGCACGAATCCATGATGAGCACGTATCCACGATGAGCACCGAGCACCCAAAAGCACGGATCGACGATGAGCCCGTGATCATGCACCAAGGAAAAGCACAGATCCACGCTGAGCACCGAGCACCAAAAGCACGAAACGACGATCAGCACGTGATCATGCACCAAAGCACGGATCCACGATCAGCACGTGACGAAAAGCACAGATCCACGATGAGCACCAAGCACCAAAGATGAGCAGCAAGTTCACGTCGAGCACCAAAGGAGAGCACAGTCCGAGAGAGAGAGAGAGGGGGAGAGAGAGAGAGAGAGAGAGAGAGAGAGAGAGAGAGAGAGAGAGAGAGAGAGAGAGAGCACAATGAGCACCAAGTTCCCGTCGAGCACGAAAGGAGAGCACCAAGTTCCTGTCGAGCACAAAAAGCACGGATCGACGATGAACACCACCCGTCGAGCACCAAGTTCCCGCCTAGCGACAGTCCGCGCGCGCACGAGAGAGAGAGAGAGAGAGAGAGAGAGAGAGAGAGAGAGAGAGAGAGAGCACGAAGAGCACAAACTTCCACTCGAGCATGAAAAGTCCGAGCAGCAAAGGAGAGAACACGATGAGCACCAATGGAGAGAAGACAATGAGCACCAATGGAGAGAAGATAATGAGCACAAAAAGCATGTATCCACGATGAGCACCGAGCACCAAAACCACGGATCGAAGATGAGCACGAATCCAAGGACGGCACCAAGTCCCCGTCGGTCAGCAAAGGAGAGCACAACGCGTGTGTGTGTGTGTGTGTGTCAGAGAGAGAGAGAGAGAGAGAGAGAGA